GGCTATGGTTCAAACTAAGCATCAGCAAAGGAAACTGTTCTTTTAATTAGTTTTCTTTTTTAATGAGGCCTAATAATCCCAATACTTCCAATTAATTTCCATTATCCTTTGAAAACTGGGTTCGCTCAAGACTTCAGTCATAAAAACATGTACCCAAGCTGAAAACATGCAGCCGTGTCTTGTGAGTTGCTGCCTTTGGGATCAGTGGTTCACTCCTAAGCACCTCCTGTATGGAGACAGGCTGAGAACATTGGGGCTGTTTAGCCTGGGGAAGAAAAGCTGCATGGAGACCTCAGAGCAGCTTCCAGTGTCTGAGGGGGCTACAGGGATGCTGGAGAGGGACTCTGCATCAGAGACTGTAGCAATAGGACAAGGGGTGATGGGTTCACACTGAAACAGGGGAAGTTCAGGTTAGATCTAAGGCAGAAGCTCTTCCCTGTGAGGGTGCTGAGGCGCTGACACAGGGTGCCCAGAGAAGCTGTGGCTGCCCCATCCCTGGCAGTGCTCAAGGCCAGGTTGGACACAGGGGCTTGGAGCAACCTGCTCTAGTGTGAGGTGTCCCTGCCCGTGGCAGGGGTTGGAACTGGATGATCTTAAGGTCCTTTCCAACCCAAGCCATTCTATGATTCTATGTAAATAATGCAGCATTTCACACACACTCAAGGCCACACATTTAGTTTTGGAGTCAAGGCTAGTACTCTGCCCACAAGCTTCTATAGAATTCAATGTACAAGTAGTAAGTCCAAATAGATGCATCTGTCACATTCATAAAAGAATTTAAGATTCTTTCTCTAGGAGTTTGGCAAGCCATTTGTTTTTCTTGAAGGAGATGCAGATAGAAGTCATTAACCATCTAATGCAAACGGAAAATGATCCTTCTTACAAAATGGACATAGCCCATAGGTACCTGTTATTACTAACACTGCCAAAAGAATCAATACTTACTTGATTCACTGCATGTAGTTTTGCCTACAATTTACCTTGTACAAAGTAAGACAGAATAACAAACAGAACACACTTCTTTTTTCAGTGAGAGTAAAAATACATGAAGTTGCCTACTAAAACTTTGTAGAAAACTAACAATGCTATCTATTTTTAAAGAGGACATACGTAAAGATACTTGTGGGTAGGGAAAGGTATGATACTGAACACATAAGCACAGCTTATGAACAGTATATTCTACCCTCACAGTAAGTTGAGCTTCCACATCAAGTACATCTGCTTGTGGAACATCACTATATGGATTTGCCTCCAGGTGTAAGCAAAGAGAGACAAAGAATTAAAGTGTCATTTAACTTAGTAAATGTTGGGGACAGATCTCTTTAAAAAGTAAAGGAATGGTGTTTCTGACGGGCATTTCTGCCCTCTAGGAAGAAACACAGCACTAGGAAGAGCAGTGCTCCTTAGTTTTCCAGTTCCTGCAATTTTAGCTGCTGAGCTTCAGTAACCTTAGGATCTGCACCTCCATCTTTTGAACCTGGGCACATTAGATATTATTCCCCACACTTTGACACTAGAGTGAACAAACAAAATGGGAGTGCATTAAGATGACAGACTATTCATGGTGGTTTTCAGAGCACCCAGAGATCCTTTACCACTCTCACACCCTTTGGAAGCAGAACAATATTCATCATCGTATCTTAGACTTTAACTAATTATTTACAGAACACATTAAAGTCCTCATAATAAATACATTATGTAAGCACCAGACAGCATTATTATCCCATTTCACACTAAACTAGCATCCCTCTTTCACACCAGAATCCAAAAACGTTAGTCTAGGACACTTTGCTTTGGCAGTAAAAAACAGTAATAATCAACAAGGGGCACAAATACCTTCTTCTCAGCAAGACAGTTTCTTCTGTAGCAAAGCAAGGCAGAAATTCTAGAGCTTAACTGAAAAGTTAGCCAAGACTGAAGCTAGCACTATTGCCATAGTATGAAAGGAAGGAGTAAAGCCGTTTCTAGGGGAGAGGGAGATTAGATAGACAGATAGATAAATAGATAGATAGGATAGTGACAGAAGAGCTACAGCTCCCCTTTTCAAACTGTCTGCTAGTGCAATGCAAGGGGAAAATGTCATAGGATGACTATAAACATGAGCAGGAACTCCAGGCATTCCAGCATGACAAACCTGTGAATTACTCTCTAATTACAAGGCACTTGTGTTGGCCAGATGCTAACAAGGCATACTGTGGAAGAGCAGAGAGTTGCGTCAACGTTACTGGGTAGGGAGGGTGTTGTGAGCACAACCACCCTGTGTTGGGTGCCTCTCTAGACTGGCATCACCCTAACTGCAGGGCAGTCACTATCTGCCTGCAGCAATGCAACAGCAAGAGGTCAAACCCAGGTATTTGAATGCAGAGGAGCCTCCTGCTCCAGGGAGTAAAGATCAGTACTACTCTTGACTATGCATGTATGACCCAAGACCTGAGTATGGCTGGAGTGTTAATGCAGAAGTCCTTCTCCATCAATCAGCCACAGATTTGCAGTTCCTGAGCACCAGAATATCCCTGAAGGACACATCTTCAGCTGCAGGCCTGGAGAGCTCTAACTTGTTTCAACTGCAAGAGTCAAACACAACAGGTCAAGTGGGGCTTTGGCACAATATAGCAGAGCTTAGGTGAACTGTGTAAATGCACAACTGATTTAATGACAGTGACCATATTTTCCCTTTTGAACATGCACAAGGTTAACCTGGTTTGAGATCCTGGGTTCTGAACTTCTGTTTCAGCCTGACTGGGAACCTGCTGCTGCTGCAAAATTCCCTGAAAGGGTCTGATAAGGATATATCTTCACTTGTTTGAGCTTCATGAACTCCCCACACCTTTCCGTACTTACAAAGAAAGGATATGAGTTATATATGCAGGCACATATATTAACCTGAATGTAGCCTAGACAATAGTTTTACTGCTCAAACATTCCCCAAAGGGTAAAACCACATCAACTTATATCAGTTTTCCAAGCTGACATTAGAATTCTGATCACTCCAACACCCACCTTCTGAGAAATAGTGAACTGCCAACACCAGGCATGAAGTAACTCAAACCAAAAAGGGAAAACTCCGTGTTTGCTTCCTTCAGTCTTACTGCTTGTAGATATTACATTAATTTCTACTGCAAGGACTGTTAAAAAAACTTGTAATTCCTTGCATTCCTCTCTTCAGTAGCTACCCAGAATCAGGATGAATATATTTGCTGTCATATGCTCTTCTGTTGAGTGCTGCTGCTGCACATGAATTTAGTCCTTGGCTCTTCTGTATTCACCTAAATAAATTAGTAGTATATATAAAGATATGATTAGTTCTAACAGAATACAGTCTCATATGACGCAAGAGCTCATCTCAATGATTCTGACATATAAAAATAGAGTCACCAAATACGAAAATTAAGAAAAGTATATTTATTTGTATTCAAACAAAAAGGAGACTCAAAGTGGTACATTTCATTAAGAGCAGCACATAAAAGAGCCATTTTCAATCCAGGCATGTGGCATGAGACACCTTTCACCAGAGTTAACAGCTATCACAAGTTCAGCATCACACTTCCCAGATCAACCAAACTCATTCTCTGGAAGCTCCTGAAGCACTCCCTCCACTGGTATGCTTTTTCCCTCTTTAGTTGTGAGAAATACATAATTCTGCATGTGCCAAGTTACTGATGCATAATCCTACAACCAAAACAACGCACCTCAAAAAGAATGAGCCTCAGTCTTCACTGTTACAAGAGGAGAAGCAGCTCTTTCACTATCAGATACACTTCATCCAAGCTCACACACTTCTCAAATCTCATGCATGCATTGCTTGCTCAGATTATTTTTATTTGCCCAAAATTATTTCTCATGTATATATATATATGTATGTATGAATCACTGAAAAACAATTAAGGAGTGGATAAGGGGAAAAGTGTGTTTTTCTCTTAGGATTTGGACTTCTGGGTAGTATTTGTTCTCACCATGCTGGACAGCTGGTTCTGAAGTGGGAACAGTACCCTTAAACTATAGAAGCTTTCCTGCACAATTTTTTCCTAAACAGGAAGTTACTTGACTGGAACATTGAGGAGCTTTCCCCTCAGTTAAAAATAGCCACTTTCCAAATATGAAAGTACAGCTGGTTCCCTGTTAAGGTTGGGAAGTTTCATGTAGCTTCTCCCATTTGAGAAGCTACAATGTGAAACTCTCTTACATCTCTCATTCCCAAGTGTTTTGTGTGGAAGATTCATTCTCATGAGTAATCTATGCTGAAAGGAAGGAATCATTTAAATTTAGAGGCATGTGGCACCTGAAATTTAGCAAGCCATGCAAATTTAAAGCTATGACAGTGGAAGACTTATAAAAAAGTTAAGTTTCCCTTATTAAGCATGAACATTAATCAAATCTTTAAGCCACACAGCATTAACACACATCACTCTTAGGAAACACTCAAATCAACCTCATTCCTTGGCATTTTCGATACCCTTTTAGCCAATTTATACACATACCTGTAAACTCCCTCACTGCAACCACTATGCAGAAATATGTAGGACTGTGTAGTCATACACCTTTGTGCAATTCTGTAGTATAGAAAAACCCCACACTATGGTTCAGTTGATGAAGGCAAGATGCAAAATACAGATGCATCACACAACAGGCTATTTAAATAAGTCTTAATTCTGCCCTGAACGTATTACATGAGACACATATTAAAGATATGAAAATACTAAGAATACTCTTTTCTTATGTCAAAAACCAAATCTTTTAAATACTCAGAACAGCCATTAAATATTAATTTTATTTCCTTCTAGAATAACTGACGCTTTCTGCTTCTAAGAAATGTTCTCTTGTTCAAAGACAGATTGCAGATTAAGGCATGAGTATATCTTCCTTCTCAATTTAGCATACCTTCAAAAATACTCCTACTATATTTCTTTTAACACAATAAACTGGACTAAAGTTTTCTGAGGAAGAATGTATTTGAATAGGTAAAGTGCCCATGTGAAACAAATAAATGGTTTTATACAGGTAACAGTCCCTTTATTCGTCATCTCAGTATCCAAGTACTGAACTATGTTAAACTGGTTTTGAAATTTACAGTTTTCACTATGTAATACTCAGAACTCCAGTCAGGCTCAGGTAGTTAATGGATGTGGTGAAGCACTGGAGTCAGGAAATGAAGGCAAGCTTTCTGAGCACCTGTGACAAAGTAAGAATACCTTCCCCAGCTCTTAAGAAAATTAAGATACAAGTTTTTGCTACTATCAATTTATTCTTTCAAAACAACGCATTTCCCCACCCTCCCTTCCCACCACACAAAGAACAGTGGTGATGACAAAAACATCAACAGTTGCATTGAACTTCTATATCAAGTCCTAGTATTCACTCATCCTTAGTCTAGGAGAGTGGTTCACATTTTGATTACACACCACAGGCGTAGTTAGGAAGTCCACCGCCACCAAGCTACCTTCATTCTGTCCCATACAGCTGAGAGGGAGTCAAAGGCAGGGCGAACATCCAGGATAGTGAACTGGTAGTTCTTGTCTACTGCTCCACCATCATAGTAATCAATAACGTATCGTACTTCCTTTCCACATCGGTCAACAATCCAATCATGCCTGTCGAAGGGAAGTTCATATCTGGAAAGACAGAGAATGGACCACGCATATATTTTAATGGATATTATGAAGCAGGGAGAGGGAGTGGAAATCCTGTTTAAGAAGTTTTACTTATCCAGATACTGGCATAAGATTCCCACTGGTACTTCTGGTAATAATAACTTGCAATTCCAGTTCTGAAACAGCTTAATTCTACACCATGTTTTCAGACACATCTCCCAGCCCTCCCACCTCACAGAAGACCTGCCTCCTGCCCACGTACCCCATCCATGAACGTATTCTGGCTCTTGGTGAATACTCCTTTGCTTTGCCTCCAAACCGCATCAGCGATGGTCCACATGGACATTCCCTGTGTAGACAGTTCATAAAGAAAGTGTTTAAACCACTATGGCAGTTTGGTTTAGTAACAGAAAAACCATATAGGAGAAAAAGCAGCAGTAAAAAAATTACAAGTGATCTAAACCACCATCTTAACATTGGAAAAGCTCCCCAGTTTCTCACAGCACTTACTGCTGTTATGAGACAGAAACTTTAACATGCTCCACACCATCATTCTGATTTATCTACAAAACACTTCTCAGCAAATCTAATCCACACGAACAGAAAACCACAATCCAAACCAGTGTAACACAGATCATGGAATTCCAGAGAACAATTTCTACACACAGGATGCTTAACTAGTCTGTCTCCTCTAGGAACAAGGTCTGTCCTGACCTAAAAAGTGACTGGTTTACGAACTTTTAATCAAAGTTTACATCTCATACCTTTTTCATAACATAAAGTCTATTCTCCAAGACTTAACAAGAGCAAGAGCTAAACCAAGGATTTGCTTTTCATCCCCTATGTACATACATAGCATGGAGAGCTTCCCATTTCAGAATCTCCTTCCAGGCTTGCTCATTATTTTGGTTGTGAATCTTAATAATGTTGGTCATGTCTTCACCTGTTATGTCATCATCTTTCCACCTCCACCTGAGAGAGAAGCATTTGAGAACAGCTTACAAACATTACAGTGTAACTACTCCACCTTCTTCCCTTTATCTAGAGAGTTTTTGAATCAAGAGGTTTAAGATTTTATGCAAAGACATAAAGCAAGTAGGGAAACTTCTGGCTCATCTGCTTATGCATCTTGAGAATCACTATCAAAGTTACCCCCATCAAGATCCACAGATTCTAGTGAGATAAATTAACAGCTTAACTGGATCAGAAACTTATCAGAGTGTGCAAACATCAGCACATTCATGGTATTGTAAAAATGAGTTGGAAAAATCCCACTTGCATTCCTAATGCACACAAATCCTGTATCAATACATTTTGCATACACTTAGAAATGCCCTTCATCTCTCCAACCCTGCACTATTAACTACACGCGCATTTGCTTTTCAACAGGCATAACACTAAAGACATTTAAGTGTTTACAGAATTGAAACTTGGCGTGTTCCATACAGACTGCTTATAGCATATTGTCTTAAGAACACCACCGATATGCAGAACAAATTACTATTGTTTTAACCGTAATCATCTTTAAAGTTGATCTGTTTGAGAATGACAAATAATTACAAAAGAGTGAGAAAACAGCAGCACAGAAGGCTTTCCAAACCACAGGAGACATTTATCATTCAGATCTTGCCTACACTGAGGTTTGTTTACAGACTGAAAACCTCTACTTGTCAAACCATTTCCACACTTAGCATCTCTGCAAAGTCAGATTAGATGTTCTCACAATCACAGAGCCTTTACTATGGGTTCAGAGGATTAGCATAAAGCCAGCTGAGTCTGAAAGCTGGCAATCACACAGATTCTCTACGCCTATGCACTGAGTTGTGGCAGTTGCCTGGCATGCTCCATCATCTTGCTGCTCACTGGAGGAGACATGGCCTTTGAGACCAGCTCACACTTTAAAATAAAGCTGTGTATAAAAGCAGTCATTTAAGAGTCCACAAACTCTTTAATAATACTGATTAATAATAACTAATGATATTCCTTCATGAATTTTAGACTCTCACATTCCATCTGGTAACTCAGAGTGTATTTACCCTTTTCTTAGCATAGCATTCCAGAACATTTGCTCTGAAGGGTAGACCCATTTCTTGTCAGAATGTGCTCTAGGAATGGAAGACTCTTCTCTAACAGTTGACAATGGAAAGGGTTGACCTGGGGATGGCTGCTGATTAGGAGGAGGCATCTAGAAAACAAGGAGAATCAACAACAAACTTCAATATGAACATGTTCTTATGTTACAGTGTTTGAAAAGAAAGAATTAAAAGCACAATTCATCAGCTGCTAAAAAGATGTAAGTTCAGCCTTTATTTAAGTCTACCAGAATTACCTTTCTCTTCTGCAGGAGAACTCTTTGGATCATTTCATCATCTGAAAACCTAAAGGAACCCTTCAACTTCCAAAAGAGTAGTGCTTTCTATAAATCACAGGAAATCTTGGAGAGACCTGAACGAGAGCTTACCCATAGTGCTAGCACAGAACCCACTGATGCAGCACAACAACCATGCATGTAGACAGAAAACAGACAGCAAAAGGTATTCACAAACTGGAAAAAAGATGTTAATTTGAAGAAGAGGATGTTAAAGAAGGCCTAACCTGGTCTGATTCAAGTATTTGCATACAAAATGAGAAAAAACAGTGTTTAAAAAGTAACATTATTTCCCTTGGACAGTATCACCATTAACATTTTGGGGAGGGTATTTCAGAACAAACAAGACCAAAGAAAAGAGTTGAAACAATCAGAAGTTACCATATTGCTAGGATCTATGTCATCGTTCATCTGAGATGCACCAGTCACTGGACACGCTACGTATTCATATGCTCTTTCTTGATGTGCAGGAACATCTTCTGTGTTCTCAGTTCTATGATCAGGAGTCTTCATGTGCATTGGACACCCTGAAATACAGGAAAAAACAGGATGTATTTTGCTACAAAGGAAACTAAGACATGACAAGTGGAAAACAGTTCATTGAACGCTCATGTTAATGCAAACCGGTATTTCACTTTTCTTATAAGCTTTGCAACAGTTTAAACTGTTCTTTCCTGTGTTTTAGGACCTATCACCATGGCAAGATCTAGGCTTCTTCTGCAGTCCTTGAACACTCAATCCCTATACTGAACTGTTTGTACCTAAGATTTCCACAGCAGTGGAATCCAACACGTGCTCAATGTGCCAATGAAAGAGCTTATGTGCTCCTTCTCCATCCACCTCACTGCACCCTTCTGCTGCCCCTTCCCAGGTACTGACAACTGCCTGCTGCCAGTTACCATCTCCGCACCACCCTGACCCTTTCTGGGTGGGTGGCTAGATGGGAACAGACTGCAGGACCCCTGTGAAATGAGACAGTGGTTGTGAAACCCAGAGGTTATACAGCAGGCACCTCTGGAGATCACCTAATCCAACCCCTGCCACCCAGAGCAGGGCACACAGGAACATGCCCATGGTGGGTTTGGGATAGCTCCAGAGAGGGAGGCTCCACAACCCCCTGGGCAGCCTCACGTAAAGACACTTGTTCTGTTGTTAGTTTTTGGCTATTTGCTCCTCACCCTGTCGCTGGGCACCACTGGAAAGAATCTGGCACCATCCTCCTGGCACCTGCCTTTGAGCTATTGATCTGCATTGGTGAGATCCTCTCTCAGGCTGCTCTTCTCCAGGCTAACCAGGCCCAGCTCCTGAAATCGCTGCTCATGAGAGAGATGCTCCAGACCCCTGATGCTCCCTTGCCTCTGCTGGACCCTCTCCAGTAGCTTCTTGTCTCTCTTGTACTGAGGAGCGCAGCACTGGGCACAGCGCTCCCCCCTAAGAGTTTACTTAAGTCTCAACAATAATTACCACTCATCTTTTCCTGATGCATTGGACATTCTGAAGGCAGCGATGCCGTGTGATGCTGCTTGGATGCACTTGGTGCCTGAGCCGCAGCAGCCGGGGAGGATGCAGACAAACCCATGGCTTCTGCACACTGGGTCTTCTCAGACCGCTTCTCTCAAGGACAGAAAACACATCCACGTTACAAACTGCACCGGTGCGGCCCTGCATCACCGATTACACAGCGCCTTTAGTAACTAACACCCACCGTTAATAAAGCCCCCCACCGCCTACCAGGGCTGACAGCGAACGGGACCAGGCCCCTGCAGGGGACACCCACCGCTGCGGCCTCCCCTCACGGCCCTGCCCGCACCCGAACCCCGCCAGGCCCGAAGGGGCCGGCACGCACCGTACCCGCCCGCAGGAAGCGCCTCAGGTAAGGCCGCGGCCGAGGCCGATGCCGCCGCACCGATCCACCCGGCGGCAGCCGGCAAGGTCAGGCCCGCCCCCTGCGCCCAGCGAGCCCGGCCCAGCGCCCTCCTTCAGCGCCCGCCTCCCCAGGAACCGCCGCTCCGCTCCACCTCACCTCAGGTCACCCCGGTCCGGTCAGGCCCGGCCCGGCCTGGCCCGGTCCCCCGCTGCCGGCCCCGCTCGCGGCACGACACCTCGCGACAGCGCGGTGCCCGCTCCGCGCCTGCGCTTGCGGGGAGGGGCCGAGCCGAGCCGAGAGCGGAGCGGTCCCGGTGCAGTAAGGCCGAGGGTGCCGGCAGCGTGTGGGAGCGGTGCGGCAGCGGAGGGAGCCTAGCGTGGGTCCACTGCCGTTACCCTCAGGAGCAGAACCGCTGGGTCAGAACTGGCCAACGCCACTGATGTTCCGGGCCGAGGGTCACCTTCAGTCCTTACGGCAGCAGGGCAGGCGTGCTGGGGGTGTGACTGTGAAATCGTTATCCACATGCCAGTAATTCGTAATTAGCAGTTAATGGCTGTAAGCTTAAAATGTTCTTTAAACACCGGCTAGGCAAGAGGAGTGTCCCAGCTGCAAGATTCACTAATGGTGCCTCACCTCAGTGCCAGAAGGTGCAGTTTAACCATATGAAATGCTGTGTAACGCTTGGCGAGGCAGAGGATGGAGCTCGTTCTGCATCAGAGCAAGGAGTGCTTACTCCATCCACCTCGACTAATGGGGTAAGAGCCAGCTCTGCGGTAACAGTGCATGCAGACCCTGCAGGGCTCAGCCCATGCCATGGCTTCTGGAGCTGCCAAATGGATAAGGCACAACACAGACATTCATTATAGGTATATAACAATTAGAACTGATCCATCCCGTGTCACTGGAGGGATTACAAATGACATTATAGTAGGAAGGAGCTGAGGCTTCAGTGAGTACCTGAACTTGGGATGCAGAAAACCCATGTTTAAATGTGGGAGAGGCATGTCTTGCAGCCTCTGTATCCAGTCTGCGGTAAAGGAAAACCTGAGTGATTCTCTCCCATTTCCCCTGAGAAAGGCCATGAAGATTAATGAACTCTAAACCCCACTGAGGCAGCTCTAACCAGCACTATTGCAAGTTACACAACCACCTCCATTAAAAAGCTGCTTTCAGACATTCCTCGAGTGCTTTGAAGCCCATATTCACATACCACCTTTCACAATCAGATCTTTCTCATCAACAAGGACATTGCCATTCAGGGTGAACAGGAGGTAAGAGCACAAGTATAAAGCTGTCCGGGTGCTGTCTCCCTTTCCACCACCATGCTCCATCAGAAGCAAACCACTGCTTGTTGCAACCGTTGACTTGATTAATCTTTGCCGAGATCAGAGTTTTCGCCCTGTGTAGGCCTAGCCAAGTAACAAATACCTTTTCCTCAGCATAAAGCAGAGCAAAGTAAGATGCTCAGACCATCAGTCCACCATCTCCAAAGAAAGGAGATCTGCACAGTGAAGATTAAAAACAATTAAAAACTGCAGAGTCACCACAGCAATACAAGTACAGAAACCACAAGTTTTCAGCAAGAACAAAAAAAAAATGCTGAATTTGGGAGAAAATGAAGAGCACCTCTGCACCAAGCATGACACAGAACTGGATATACAACATGTTTTCTGTATCCTACAACTGAGGGAGAGGCGTCTCTCACACTTGAAGCAAGAGCTGCCGGGTTAAGAACAGCTCAGTGAAAGGCATCCCTTGTTCCCAGCCGTGTTCAGGGCTTCCTTCCCACAACTGAGTGTTGAAGGCTGCCCAGTGCCAATACAAAAGCCTCCCAGGAGCACCCATTGTCCTTCCTCAAGCAGTCGGAAATCTGCCCCCAGATAGCATTTCCAGACTTTCCCAGTCACTTCCAAACAGAGGGGCTGGTTAGTGAGTGGTTTTCTGCACTAACAGTGTAAAGTTAGTACCCTGTAAATGGAACTAAACACCCCTGAGAGATAAGAGGAAAACAGTAAAAAGCACTCCCAACGTTTTGTGCTTTCTTCTAGGGATTGAACCACTGCATAATACAAAAGAAAACTCCCAAGAAACTTGAGTAATTCCCATGCTTGGAAGCCAATTAAGATACAAACCAGCAGCAATTTCATCTGAGGATGCTCATAGGAGTTTCACCACGCAATTCACACTTCCCAAGTGCACATCCATGGCACATCCAGAATCTGGGAATGGCCATATTAAGAAACTGAATTACCCATCTTAGTATTCAGCAAGGGATTGCATAGTGCCTCACGTTATAATGTGCTACGACAGTATCTCTTTATCCCCAAAGCCTTCAGACAAGTGTCCAGTTTATGTCCTGAAACACATGGCTTTGCAATACAGTGCAATGTAATTATACTATCCAATATAAGAGGTTTTTCTCAAAACACAACAAAACTTGTAGTTTAAGGCACATTGCTGGTCCATTTCAGCCTTTAAAAGACTTCAGGTCTCATGCTCTCTCTCCCTCTTCTTTTAAATCAGAAAGGATGGAGCATGAGATTTCATCTTACCATATAAGCCAGTTGTACCTGAACTCAACCCAAAGGAAGATGTTCTCTCACAATGCATTCATTACAGGTACATAAGCCATCAATATATTAAGACAGACAAATTCACAGAATAAGATGTGTTCCTTTCCTTTATTATGAAGTACCAATATCTTGCATACAACATGCAATTTATTGCTCATTGACATTATTGCATATATCAAAAGGGAAAAAAACCCATAAGCCAGTATTATTTGAGGCAAGCTCCTAAAGTGTTCAAACAAAAAAGAGAAATGCTTTACAGTATCACTGAAATGCAAACAATTCAGGGGGGGTTACTAAAAGGAAATTGAAACCCATAATACTTAACCATTTGCCTTACGACAACTGATGTATCACCAATCTGCACAAGTGTTATATTGCATTTTGAACGTCTTGTGCTGTGGTAAGGACTACTACTACAATCAGGCCACATTCCTATCTGACAGTATAATGTGACCCTGATTTTGTGACGGTGTTAGTATTTACTGCAAGCCAGATTGTCCAGACTTACCAGAATTCATACAGTTTTCATCCTTGCTCTGCATACGAGTTAGATGTATTTATCAAATAGCTTCTTAGAAGATTAAATAAATGCTTTTGACTTGCAGGCTCAATTACTCATGCCCAACTTGTAACTCATTCGCTCTCTGTACGTTGGGTTTTTATCATGTTAGCTGTGCTTACCTGTTAAATTACACTAAATATATAGTAGCTAGTATTAAAGAAAACACTGTTTGGTATATGCATGCTCAAAACAAATCCAGGATATTTGGATGTGTGCATATTAAGTGTGCAAATTATACAGCCGAGCTCACAGTTAGCCCTTTTGCTCCTCTCCCCCAACATATGCTGGATTTCTCTTGTGACAGTGAATAGGGTTACAAAAAAACAACCTCATCAATTCTGCACTGTGTTCAAAATGCTGTGTTCTGCGTTACATTAGTGCTGATATTTAAATGGTGCTATCAACCCTAGCAAAGTTGTTAAAACACCAACATTTTAAAACTTAGAAGACAAGTCACATGCAACATGTGCCACTTGGGTGCAGGTTCTCAAATACTTACATATTTATAGGCTCATACAAGCATGTCCTGTCCACAAGACAAGTACAGTGTTTGACATCCCACACATAGACCAAAAAGTAAGATACTCTCAAATCTCTTATTTGCTTTTCTATTTTCAGTTTCAATAAGAAGGAAGTCACAAATACCACACTGAATCGTGATGTGTTTGATACCAAGTCATGCTGAACTCTTCATAGTTCGCTCTTAAAGACATTTCCCTTACAACTAGATTAAAAATGGAAATACTTGGGTATCATCAGATGCCCGTTCACTGCAGGGCATCACCAAATGAAACTGATCACAGAAGAGATTTTGCCAAAATACTTCTGACACCAAATGACACAGTTGGTTCTTCAGAGCTACCTTCTGTTCTTTATTGAGCAATAAAGTGCTTGGTTACTATAAACAGAGCAAGAACATCAAAGGAGGTAGCTAGTAGAGATTTTTAATGGGTAACACACCAAGTGTTATCAACTCAAAGTATGATTTGATGCTTAATCCCAGAGCAATAAACATCCCAAGCAGCACATCTTCCATCTTCTCTACCATGAAAAGAACTTTCAGGTTGCTTGCAAAAATCCTAAGACCTTAATCTGTCCAAAAAAAGACGAGATTCTATCCAAGTTTGGATGAATGTTAAAATTCAGAAATATTGATGGCTAATTCCATTTGCCTGCTGTCAGGATCTCAGCAATGAAGTAGTGTTCTTTTTACAGCCATCAGATATATTCCACAGACAAGGAAATTCCACCAGGAGCAAATACTCCCTCATCAAGTTCCTTGTAGCCAGATATGATGTTGTACAATAGGCTATTAACAAACTGAAAGGGCTGCTCGTGCTTTTCAAGGTCTTCTACACTTGCACTTTTCCATCTGACAACTCTAGCCCCTTTCTATTCGCTTTATCGATGGCTTTCACCAGCAGCCAACATGCCACCACGTCCTAAGCTGGAGTAACAGTCAAGCAGCCCTTGATTTTCATCTGAATGGCTCAGCAGAAGCAACAGAAAACGTTTTAACAAACTTCTCTATTAAATGATCTTTTAGGGAACTCTTTTATATACATAAAACAACACAAATCCACGAGAAAAGCCCTCTTCATACAGCAACTCATGATCTATTTCACACAGTCTGAAAA